CTGAAGGCTGCCGGATGGAAGCATTTTCGAAGAAAGATAGCTCCAGCCTATGGAGCTTAGGTGCAGTGCCTTCCTCAAACCTCAGGTTCAATGCCTGGTATACGGCGAGATGAATGGTGAGCAGTTTGAGACTTGGGAACTCTGACGCAGAGAAGGTGAGTGCTCTTCCGGTGTATGCACTGTGATGCAACCTAAGGTAGAGCAGGCTTGGTAACTGAGAGGTAACTTTCAGGTGCTCCTCAGATTCCAATTCAGTGGCGCGAAGGGTCAACTCAGTTAGATTAGCCAGCAAACCAATCCATTCTGGTAGCCGTCCCAACTTACCTCGGAAGTTTATGCTTTTTAGAAACATTGGTGGCCTGGATAGTGTATCAAGAATCCTGAAATTCATTACTCCGTCCGGTCGCCAAATCAGCAGTGACTGAAGGCAGCTGCTCAGTTTTGCAATGGCGGTGATCAAGGACATCCAGTTCATGTCGTCGTCAACAAACATCATTACCCCTAGCTTCCTCAACTGTGAAAGCTTCCCTAATTCAGATATGTAACAGGAAGTAGAGTCTGTGATCTCTATTTCTGCAAGTGTTGTAAGCATTTCTAAATTGCCAAGCTTGTTAGGGATGTGCATTCCCCAAAAATTGGAAATGGGAAACAAACCACTGTAGTTATAAACTCTTCTCCCTCCAAGTAGGTTTGACAAATTTGGCAGATTGGTAATGTGTGGAGGCAAATGCTTTATGGCTGTGTCCCTGACATCAAGTGTCTCCAACTTTTTGAGGTTTCCTATTTGCACAGGGAGTTCAGTGACATATGTACTCCGGAGACTGAGATATTCCAACTGAAACAGTTTACAAATATTTCTGATATCTCCATTCCTGGCAAACCCAGAACCTTCTAAGTCTAATATTCTAAGAAGTTTTATCCAAGCAAACTGTAACATTTCTCCATCAGCAAATATACTCAATGATCGGACATGGCTTAACAATTTGCTTGTGGCAATATTTTTGTTACTTCCTCCATGAATGGATAGCCGCCGAATCTTCTCTTGAGGAGCTAAAGTAGACTGTTGACCTACCAAAGTGACGAAATTCTCTTCAATTGATTTTGAAACAATGATCTCTAGCATTATATCATGAACTCGAAAGGTCTTGACCTTCCCATCAAAGCTCATTTCAATTGGAAGAACCATACTCCTGTCGAGTAATTCATTGAAATATTTCTCAGACACCTCCAAGGCACTTAATCCACGCTTCTCTGTCACAAAGCGTTCTGCTATCCATCTTCTCAATAAACTTTTCCTTCTGATCTTATAATCCTCAGGGTAGGTGCTTAAATATAAGAAACAAGTTTTCAAATGATATGGAAGGTCATCATAACTAAGCTCAAGAATTTTCTTCAGTTTTTCAAGCCAGGGACTGGTTTCCAGCTCCAAGCCAAGAGAGTTGTAGATCTTCTCCCAGCGATCATAACTGTACAAGGGTGTGCTAGCCAAAAGACCTGCAATGCTGACTATGGCCAAGGGTATACCACCACACTTTCCCAGGATCCTCTCTGAAATGTTTTTGAAGGCAGCTGGGCAATTTTCCCTGTTGCCAAATATTCTCTTGAAAAATAACTCGCTAGATTCACTACCATTGAGTTGTTCAATTTCGTAATTTCTGTCATACTCATGGAGGCAGCAGGCTTGTGCTACAGTTTTCATTCTTGTGGTAACAATTATTCTGCTTCCAGTATGTGAGTTAGGCAAACAAAATCGAATACCTTCCCATGCTGACATGCTCCAAATATCATCGAGAACAATAAGATACCTCTTATCTTCTAGATGCTGCCTTAGCATATCTGCAAGCTGTCCCACGTTCCATTCTTCCATGCCTTTGAGTGGGTCTACTGCTGGTGCTGGACCATTTTGATTTACTGGTCGAATAATCTGACGAAGAATGTCCCTTATGAGACCCTTCACATCAAATTTCTGGGATACAGTTACAAAAGCTCGGCACTGGAAACTTGCACTAGCTGTCTGATATGTCGTCATAGCAAGAGTTGTCTTTCCCCAACCACCAAAACCGGATATAGATAGCACCAGTAATTGTTGTACGTTTTCATCCACCAACCAATTCACAAGATTACTCTGACGCGCTTCAATGCCCACAAGTTCCGTTATCTCTGGGAAGAGTGCGGGGGTACGAATATCCAGAGAAGTAATATAAGATGGTGCTGGTTGTGCAGCAAGTGTGTTTCCTTCTGCTCCAGAAATGAGATGATTACCACCATACCTACGAGAAGAGTTTGTAAGTTATTGCTACAGCTCATACATAGTAGACGGGAAAGAGGAAAGAACTTCCATGTTTTTTTACAGCAAAAACACATTGTAGCTATAAAGTTTCGAAGGCTGAATTACTCTCATCTAAAGTTCACTCTCTCACATACAAAATAGATAATGTTTGTGACTTTGCACAATCTCTAAGGAGCAACTTTGGCCATTTTGTTCTCTATAAATATGTAAGTAAATGACAATTAAAATTTATATTGTGATTGTTTTTCATGACAAATCCAGTGGTAGTACAATTTTACTCAACTAATCTAAACATTTTTTTCTTAGTCAGTTGTCAAAGATAGAGAAAGTTTGACGACATGCTTAACAATGTCATCTATTTTGGGACACAGGTAGTATTTACAAAATTTTATCCAATAGTTGCAACAGTGGAATGAATCTTTTCAATTTTTATCACAACACCAGAACACATAATTTATACCTCCTCCAGTCCTCCTGCTACAGAGCTACCACATTTACCATGTTTCATTTAGAGGGAAATCATAAGGTAAATGCCAAGACGCATAAGAATTTTATATAAGGAAGGCAATTACCTTGAGTTTCGGTCGCTGATACTTGTAGCGCGCGCTTTCAGTTGTTGGATTTGTTTCGCAATCTGACGCCGCACCCTGACAGTTTGCATGAAACGGATGCATCTGTGGAAGAGCCCGGCAAGGCCAGAACCACTTGTGGTGCTGCCAAGGTGATATGTAAACTCATCAACGCAATCCTCAACATCATACGCGACCTCTCGCACCTGTTTCATCCAAACCTTAACCTGCTTCCTGCGGTTTCCCTCCTCAGCAAGGTCCTGGAGGAATGCTGTCATGCTCTCAAGCTCATCCTTCATGTACTCCAGCTCGCCTCGGATGCCTCCAAGGAGCTGTGCTTCTTGGATGAGCACCGCACCCAGCTTACATAATAGTATGTTAATGGCACCCCCACCAGCGCTAACAACAGGATGCTCCATCTCTCTATCAAGTACCAAAGGGGGATAAGAGTTTCTGCTGTTGTCTGTTTGAATGGGACTGGGCAATATGTGTGGGGGGCACAGGAAATGGTCCTCACCATCCTCCAAGCGAAGAGTCCAGGCCACACATGTATACTGATATAGTCCACACAAGCATCTTATGACTTTTCAATGATATGTCGTTGTCATATTACTGCCCAATGGTTCAAAGGGGAGAGCAGCTGAAGGACACCTTCCAGGAAATGTTGGATTCACGTTGTCTGACTTGAATGGTATACACCATCTTACCTCAAAATTAGGTACATCATCTCAAATCAAAATTGATAAGAACAGACCACTGGTATAAAAAATGTCAGTTAAATAGCATAAATCAAGGCGGTTATGTTTGAATCCAAGTGCCATTCACATCAACTTTAAATGATACTCACTGAAGCCTTTGTTTACGTCATGCCTAAAAACTTGTTTAGACCTTTAGGGGTGGTTGTTTATCTTTCAAGTGGTTATTTCAACAACTTGTAGGTGATTATTTACCAAAAGTAATTTATGTAGTTGCAGAAATTAACGTGCAACATTCTTATTAAAAAAAAGACTGTTCATTCAGATGTTCTGTTTTGAAGAAGGATCTGAAAATCTGAACCAGAGAGAATCACACAAAAAAATGCTAAGATATGAACCATGAAGTCATTTAGATGGATACGCATGCCACCTTAATGAATGAATGAGACTTCTTACCAGTGTGCTTTTGGTTGATTACTTGATAACCAAGCGATGGTTTCACTTGTAGGCTATGAGATTTCACCACATGGAGGCAGCTGGCTCGCTCAATCTTGCCCCTCAATTATTTATCCAATCGCACATCATGATGATAACAACAGGTCATTTGAGTCATGGAACCAATGACCATTGAATCAGCCATTGCTGCCAACAAAGAATCTTATGACTTTTCAATGATATGTCGTTGTCTTGCTGCCCCATAATTCAAATGGAGCAGCAGCTGAAGGAGCCTTTCAGGATATGTTGGATTCACATTGTCAGACTTTGATGGTGTGGTTCATCGTGTGTAATTTTCCTAATTAGATACATTACCTTATCTCGAAATTGATAAGAACAAACCATCAGTATAAAAAAAAATTCAGCTAAATAACATAAATCAAGGTGTTATGCAACTTATATTTGAATCCAAGCGTCATTCATGTCAACTTTAAATGCTACTCATGGATGCCTTTTTTATGTCTAAAATTTTGTTTAGGCCTTTGGTGTGGTTGTTTCAACTATGTATGTTATTGTTAGGTTAGGAAAATCTTTTGTGTGGTTATTTCAACAATTTATAGGTGATTATTTACCACAAAGAATGTATGTATGTGCAGAAATTTAACTTGCAACATTCTTATTTCAAGAAAAACTGCTCATTAAAAGATTCTCTTTTGAAGAAGCATCTAAAAGTCAGAACTAAATAAAATCACAAAAAATGCTAAGATATAAAAGTCATTTGAACTTACATGCGTCATTCGGATGTTTAAATGAAATGGTTAAGAGAGGGCTGGAAGTGAACCGTGTATCCTCCTAATTCCTAAAAGAACTTACCAAGACACTCGGAAAAAAGACACATACTACCAGAAGTGCAAAGAGAATGGAAGCAAGAGGCAAGAATGCAAGCACAAAATATTTGTTTGTTCCTCAAAACTGTACTGTATTTGACACTTCTATGATACGTAATACACATCACACGCTCCTAGCTTCTGACTCCTGAGATGATGGTAAGCAGCTATAATCTTCAACTGTTGTCAAACGCCCATTCATCGCTCTCCTCCTCCTGTCCCTTGTGGCCATCCTCTCGCCATAGGTTAGAAAGATGTCCCCAAGATCAACATGACCTGTTTCCCTCAACCTCCTTCCAACCTCCTCAAACATCGCTACTCCCTCCTCATTCGAGAAGTAGTGCAAGAACTTATTATAGTCAAACCTCGGCACATCCACTCCACCCCACATTGTCCTCTCCACAAACTTAGTGGCCTCCAGTGTCCTCCCCGCCTTCACCAATCCGCCGACGAAGATGCTCTCAAAATTCACCAATGGATCCCTGCCCTTCCTGCCCCTCTTCCCCAAGTGCCCCTGAAGCATCATGATGTATGTGTGCATGTTTGGCTCACACCCACTGGCAACCATCTCCCTAAACACCTCAGTCGCCTCCCCAGCTCGCTTGGTCCTCACCAAACCCTTCATCAACCCATGGTACAGTGCAATATCCTTCTCCTTGACACCATAGAAAACACTGTACCCTTCCCTCACCCTCCGCCTCGCCAAGAGCCCATACACCAAATCCCCAAGCACCTCTCCGTCCACCTCCACCCCTCTCTTAACCATTTCGGCCAGCACCATGAACGCTGAACAGGTCCTTCCTTCCTTGCACAGCCACGAAACCACAGCGTGGTAGCACGCGCCACCACCGCCGGCAGACAATCCCCTCCTCCGCATTCCGTCGAACACCTTCATGGCGTCAGGGATACGGTTGTTCTTGAACAGCGTCACCACGATCTCTTGATATGCCGCCGCGCCGGGCTCAATCCCGCGCTTCTCCATCCCGTTCCACACACTGCACGCGTCGGAAAACATCCCCGCGCGGCAGTACGCGACGACCAGCAGCTCGCAGCACCTGCCGCAGCGCGCGAGGCCGTACCGGTGCTCGGCTTGCTTGACGATCTTCTCTGCCACGTCGGGCAGCTTGCAGACGGAGCAGATGACGTCGACGATGAAGGCGAGCGCGCGGGGGCGCTGCGCCTCGGGGAAGAGGGTGAGGAGGGCGGAGACCTTGCCGACCTCGCGGGCGGGGGCGAGGCCGCGAACGGCGGCGCGGAGGGCCGCGTCGGAGAGGAGGCCGGGCGGGAGGGCGAGCAGCGTGGAGTGGAGCAGGTCGACGTTGCTGGACTTGGCGAGGACGTCGAGGAAGCGCGCGGCGGTGGCGGGGGAGTGCGCGAAGCCGTGGCGGGCGGTGAGGTGCGCGAGGAGGCGCTGCACGGGGCGCCAGGAGAGCAGGAACCGCGCGGACGCCTGGAGGAAGAGCTCGCGGAGGTCGGCGGGGGCGGAGGGGAGGGGGAGCGCGGAGAGGCGGCGCTGCAGGGCGGCGTCCGGGGCGTTCTGCTGCTGGTAGATGATCGTGCAGAGGCGGACGAGCAGCGCCGGGTCGGTGGGCCTCGGCGCGGCGGCGGAGGCGGCGGCGGCCTCCGGAGCGGGCGCTGCGACGGCGGTGGAGAGGAGGCGGCGGAACAGGAGGCGCGGAGGCATGGAGGTGGTCGCGGGTCGCGGTGGCTGAAAAGGCGGAGTACTGAAGAGGGCGCGCGTCGGCGCGAATGCTGCTCGGAGAGAATCGCAAGATCTTCATCATGGGCCGGTTTGTTTTGGCAGCTTTTCATGTGCCGATTTGTTCATGGTCGGTAAAGATTTTTTTACTGAACTTAGGTGAAATGCATTTTTTACACAGAGTGCACGTTAAATTCGTTCATGGTGCCTCACTCATCAAACATCTATTCCTAATACCGAAAAAGGCTCACGCCCCGCTTTATAGATAAAGCCAATGCCAAAGCCAACATCCACAAGGTTCACACCACCAAGGTTCACACACACACACAGACCAGGAACAAACAAGCATCAAGGGTTAGTGCTGAGGGCACAGCTCAACAAGCCCAACACACACACAAAAAGCGGCACATCTATTCCTAATGGAAGAGTCCTCACGTCACCCTCTCCATCGAACAATGCCTCCACCACGGGTCGATCCCAGCCCCATCGATTTTGTTCAGTACGGGCGCTCCTTCTTGCAGGTCGAGGGCGACAAGGAGCGCCGGCGTTCGTCGCAACTGTTGTCGAGTAGGAGAAGTCCGCCCTGCGTGCGCCCCGCCTGCTCCTCCTCAACCTCGGTAAAGAAAACTTTGGAGCAAGCGACATGCGAGAGAGGGAGAGAAAGTGGCGACGCGCGTCCGTCTGAGGGAGGCGGCGACGCGGGCGGGAGGCGGCAGCGCACATCGTCGGAGGAGAGCTAGGGATTCGGTGGAGGGGAATGAGAGAATGATGCGGAGAGAGTGAGGGGAACGAGAGCATTGTGCGGCATCGGTGTCGTGCTATATTGGGAAGCAGTCGTTACGTGACAAAAAACGTGCATCGATCCCAAAAAAGTGTGTTGTGTATTTTTTCAGCGATATATTTTGTTAAGAGAGTATAATTTACATAATTTACAAAGACACTAGGGCGCTCAGGGGAACGGAGCGCGGACAGCACGAGCACAACTTGGAGCCGCAAGGGGCCTAGCGATAAGTGGTAGGGCGACCCTTCTGCACCTCCCGGCTGACGACGGACCTGGCTGCTCACTGCGCCAGATGTGCTAACGGCTGTTAACCGGATCCGGCCAAAACTGTAAACCATGGCGGGGAGTGGAGGGGACGGGTGACATCGCGGTGGAGGGGATAGGAGGCGGCAGTGAGCGTGGAGGGGTGGCAGCAGATCCAAGCCACAACGGGGAGAGAGATGGCGACGACGACATCATGAGGAGATATGGCGGTGGCGACACCGTGACGAGGAGACATGGCGGTGTCGACTTGTGCGGGTTGAGTGAGATGTGAGTAAGGGCTTGTGTCCGTGCAGCGAGGGAGTGAGAGGGGTGACCTGTTTATTTTAGAAAAGCTGGTTGTTGTTTATATAAAGGGAAATCAACTATTTGCTCCTAGAGAAGTGTAACATATTTTTATAGTGAACAATATAACATACCTTAAATAGTAAATTCTCCAGAATAATCATCGACAAGTGATTTATAAGTGAGCCTAAATTTATTAAAATCAGGATGCAACTTATACATATAAACATTTGCTCTACTAGTGGAAATGACAACGCACACGTTGGATAACAAATGGCAATTCCATTTTATGCTATCAATCGAGCAAATGGAAATCAACCACCAGCTAGCTACGTAGCTAGATTAATAAGCCGCGTGAGGCAAGAATTAAACTTAGACGTCGGTGCCGAGGATCGGCGCCTACAAGCTAGCAATCTCATACGCCAGTCGGAGTGAAATGCATGGTTGATCCATAAACTCAAATTAAAAGCACACTTTAGGCCATCAACTCAAAATTTGCACAGATTAGGCCATAAATTGGATTATGAGCACACTTTAGGCCAAAAACGCTTCGCAAGGCCCAGTCATGCACACGTGGCCGCCACCTCGGCTCAGTCTGTAACGCACCTGCGAGATTCAGATTTCCAAGGGGGCTTTCCGCAAAATGGACGTAGCTGCAAAATCTCTCACGAACTCATTTTCCCCAATTTCCCGACATATTCTTCACGCTGCAGCCGTCACCGCCGTCGAGCGCGTCGGCCCCGGAGAAGGAAGAGAAGTGGCTATTGGGGTGGCGGCACTGGCGCATGTGCTTTAGTCGGCGGGACCGGCGTCCCATGTGCTGATGGCGGCAGGACCGGCGGCCCATATGCTGAAGGTGGCGGGCGGCGGCCGTGGCTCCGGAAGCCATGGCGATGGACGGATTGGGCGCGTGGGCAGCCTGCTCAGGCAGAGGAAGCCTCGCGCCCTCGCCGTTGCCTTTCCGCAGAGCCGGTCGCTGGCCCGCAAGGGTGCCATGAGCGCACAAGCTGCCGACAGAGCTCCCTGGCGCCGGTGTTGATCCATTTTTTCTTTTGGTTACACAAAATTCTGAACCTTTCGTTGTATATTTGTTGTTTAGGTTGGCAAAATCCTTGCAATTTCTGGAAATGGGAACAGGAGTACAAGGATTGTGTTGGTAAAATTGGTCTGGCCATCAAGGATGTCAAGGATGTCTATCCTGGAGAAGTTGCCCCTTTCAATCATGAGCAGAGTTGTTGTACTGATGTCAAAGAGCAGACTACTAGTGCTCATGTCATAGAGAAACTGAAGGTGCTGCTCTTGTGAAGAATGGTGCTTTTGATGAAGATGCTAGTGCAGCTAGTCAGTGCCCTGAAGAACATCAGGATCATCTTAATTTTGTGTTTTCTGTTCTTTTTCTTAGTGCGAAGAAGAGGGTGTATGGACAGTGAGATGTTATGCCCAATTTCTATGCACCTCCGTGTGATGTATCTGTAAACTGGTACATTAGTGAAGGATAAAGTTGGACAATAGTGACTATTTCATTTGAATTATATTCTGCATTGGTGTACACTTTAACTACATTAGTTTCAGGAAATGATAATAACAGTTGTACAATCTTTAGGGGTATGAAAATCACTGTCATACAATATTCAGGAGATGAAAATCACAACTAATCTTCAAAAAGTCCTCATTCTTCAGGAAATAAACATGGCAGTGCACATAACATGCAGATTCATGTGAAATATAACATCACAGTGCACATGATTATGCTCATAAGCTTGCTTGATGAAATAAATATGACACTGCTACGTAGTTCCAAAAGTAAAGGTTCCATTCCCTAAAAAAAGTGAAAGGTTCCAAGTTCGCATCACAACTTCATAGTTCCAGGAAGTATCACAACCAAATCTCCAATTTTCATAAGCATGACAGAAACCAGGAAATTAACTAATGAGACCCAAAGAGCAAGTGGTACAATCTTCCGTGTTTGATACTTCTCTCTCTCTCTCTCTCTCTCTCTCTGGCTGCACCATCTCCTCTTCCTCCACTTCTTGGTCTTCTTGTGCTTGCTCTTGGGACATCATCTACCATGTTTGAAGCAGCACCACTTGCTCCTATAGCATCATTAACTACAGAAATACTTCCTGTGACCCTGCTTGTACTTGCTTTCCTTGTAGTGCCTCTCGCTCTTGCTCTCCCTCTGGTAGTTGGCACAACATCATCAAGTATAGAAGTACTTGTAGTAGAGCTAGCTGCTCTTCGTCTTCCCCTTCCTCTCCCCTTTCCTCTTCCCCTTGCTATGGCCATCCCTCCCCTTGTTGCTGTTGTTGCCCTTGGAGCAGGAATATTATTTATGTGCTCTTCAACGAAAGCATTGCTAGGCAGTGGACCTTTCCTTCGACTGTGAAAATTCTCCAACTCAGTGATCTGCAAAAATAATAAAGCAAGGATTAGTGGGAAGTAGTAACTGAAATAGAGTATTAAACAATTTGTTCAAATGATTATATGTACTTCTTCTACTAGCAGTTCGTCAACTAGAGTTTCACTGCATTGTGTTGGAATTAACTCAGGAATGCCCTCTTCAGGAACAATATGCTGAAAATAATGAAGCAAAGATTAGCTGCATTAAATATAACAATTCATTTAGCTCTAAGGAATAAAAACGATTGCTCTTTTTAACCTCTAAAATAGAAGGATCATCAATATCTTCTTCATTGTTTCTTCTTTGTGGTTGAAGTTTCAGTTCTGGATGTAGGATAGGGCAACCTGGCCTCTTGTGGTTAGGGTCTCTGCAATGGCTACAGTGCATCTTCACACCATGCTTGCTGAGCCTTGTACCTTGTTCTTTCTCTGATGGGTGCTCTCTCCTTTTATTTGCTTTCCTTCCAGCTTTCTTCTTATACAATGGTGCTCCCACTTCCCTTCCATTTGTCTTTTCCCAAAAACTTTTGTCCCTAACTGGCCAGATAGTGTGTCCATAAGTTTTCATATACTTGTCCCTTGTATAACAAGCTGCTATCCGTGTTTCGGGCTTTATTCTCTCCTCTCTCATGCAAGTAGCTGCATGAGAACATGGAATGCCTGTTAGTTGCCATCTCCGGCAGTCACAACTGTTTTGCAGCATGTTGACCTCATAGCTGAAGGATTTGCTCTTGACTTCGTATACTCCATGCCCAGATCTGTGAGGAAAACAATTGTTTGCATATTTCACATTGTTCTGCAGTTTGTCCATGATTTTGGGGCATATGTTGCCAGTCCATTTGTTCTCACAAATCCTTGCATACTCAACCATTCTGTGCATAAGCTGCATCCTTATCTTCTCCCACATACTAAGGATAGGAAGCTCTCTAGCATCAAGTATGTATCTGTGTGCACATGTAATGAAGAACAAGATCACTATAAAGAACATGAATGGCACAAAGAACATGAACACATATATGTTTAGTAGCTTACTTGTTGAACACTTCACAATGATTATTCATTAGTGTGTCACTCTTGCAGAAACAATCAAAGAAGGCTCTACACCATTGGTCTGGTGGGTGCCCATCAAGCCATGCATGTGCTTCTGGACTCAACAACTTGAGTTTCTCCATGTTTCTTTCCAACTGTTCTGTGTTGCTAGATCTAGCGCAAGCCCAAATTTCTGCAATCTCTCCAGCTTCTCATCCATCTGTCGAGT